ATCTCGTAACGCCGGACGGCACCTAAAGCCGGACACTCTATTTAACACGTATTATTTAGGCGAGTATAAATATTTTTATTTTAAAATACAAGTGAAAGGGGTGCGGGGGGCACACAGGTGCAAGATTACGTGCCAAGATTCACCTGTAACGCACACAGCCACGGCGGGAGCAATCCTTTGTTGTTTTAGGCGCAAAAACACGGTGTCACCTAAATATCATTGGAAGTAATTCTAGTGTATTTATGCATTTATATTTTAGTGGCATCCAAAAATAAAAGTAGTACTTGATTGTTATCCGTACAATGGCAGAATATTATTAGATAATGTAAACAATTTTAGTAGGTACCACCAAATGAACAAAATTGCCCCTTAGCACCGGACACTAAGTCGTCCCTTAGCGCCGGAAGTAAACATATTGATATTTCTGTGAGAATTGACGTAATTTATTTCTAATTATTTAATTTTGTTTTGTATGAGTACTAACAGTAACTACATATCCCCATGTTTCGTATTTTCTAGTCAAAGAATGAAAATCTTATGATGAATGCTCCAGCTGAGAGCATCGGTGTGGCCCAGCCAAAAGGGTGGAAAATTAGTGACTTTTTTGCAATATCTAAGAATATTCGTCAAACTCAAATGTGCAGACATTTCAGAGTGTGGAGATGGCTACATATGTGCTCAATGCTGGTTATTTTGAAATGTCCGGTACTAGGTGCCACTTTGTAAAATCATATTTTTTAACTTCCCGTAGGGTAAGTTATTGTAATGGGCCGAAAATCGGAATTGAAAATTTTTACATTTCTCGACGTTTTGAAGGTTTCTGAACGTTTTGGCATACCTCAGAAAAAATGGATGTGTGTGTGTGTGTGTGTGTGTGTGTGTGTGTGTGTGTGTGTATGTATGTGTGGATACAAATTTCCAGTCACGTTTTAGGGCGCACGGATCAACCGATTTGAATGGTTCAAAAAACATTCGATTCCTATTGATTGGGAAAAGAGCTGATTAGTTTTTGACAAAGGCAGGTCCAGCCGTTTCGGAGATACGGAGCAAAGAGTGCAGAAAATAGAAATCGAATGTTTGAGCGAACGGAGTATCCGATTTGAATGATCTAAAAAACATTCAATTAGTAATGATTGGGAGAAGTGTTTATTAGTTTTTGGCAAAGGCAGGCCCAGCCATTTCGAAGATACGGAGCTAAATATGTAAAACATGGCAGTTTTTGAGAGAACTAAGCGTCCGATTTAAATGATTCAAAGAACTTTCTGCTTGTCTTAACAAAATAATTGATTTTGAAAAAAAAATTTGTTCCATTTTTTTTTTTTTTTTTTTTTTTTTTTTTTTTTTTTTGAAAATTTATTTCAGATTTTATTTTTAATTCTGACTATAGTTCTAATATACTTTAGAAATAATTTCAACTCTGCAATTCGGTTTATATAATTCTTATAAATATTACACAATATTACAATATTTATAATAATCTACTTGAAAACATTCAGTATATTCCTCGAACATTTCGTTACGGTGCGGGAAGTTCCAGCAATTTGCCTTAAGGCACGATGCCATAATTGCCTCAAGACAGAATTCCACTTACAGCTAGTTGTTATCAAAGTTTGATTGATAGTATTAATTATAATTAATACTATCAATAAACAATAATTAAACAAATTATTGTTTAACAATTAAAACAAGTTAAACAATAATTATTGTTTAGCAATGATTGCGTTTTTCTAAATTTAGTTTGATTTCTAACTTTGTTATCTAACATAAGTCATAATTTTACAAACCTTTCGTAGAATATTTTTTGATTTATTTATAAATAACCGTAGGTGTCCGGCAATCGGGGACTTTCCCCTACATATATGTACTGAATTTATTTTACAATATCATTTAGTTTTCACGTTCACGTATTTAATGTATTTCTTTTTCTCAATACTGATGTAAAATCATATCTTGAAACCTTAAAAATTAAGGATGCCTATTATCCATTGTCCCTAGTAAGAAAAGTATCAAACAAGGCCAGGAACTATCGCATAAACTTATACGACTAAACAAACAGAACTATTATTAATAACAGAAATATTGTTCCGAGTAACAATGCTCGTAAAACGTTGAAAGAAAACACGACACGTCGTGTGCTTGGGATTGAAAAAGTCGTTAAATGTGAGACTATTGTATTTTACAAGCATGAATACTAACGATAAATACCAAACAAGGAAAACTGACTACCCGACGACATCGTGGTGTCAATTAGAAGGCTTGCAAGCAATACCAAATTAGACGACAATTTATTATGATATGCTGCTTTGTATATCGCTTTGTATAGAAGTAAAAACATAGAATGTGTTAGTTGGTAACGTGCTCAATAAAGGAATATTAACTTTCCAAGGAGGACTGCAAAAGAGTATAAAAGTTTATATTTTTGCGAGAAAAACCGATTACTAATTTTTTTTTTGCGTTTTGAATTTGGTATGATACGTAAAAGCAAATTTTGCCTCTCGTTGGTATATTTAAGAAAAAGGCTAAATCGTATTAGAACATTTAAAATTTAATATTGAGTCGTGTCCATTAGTTTCGCATGATAATCGGTCGAGCCGTTTATTTCAAATTAATAACTAAACGCAAGATATATAATATTTTGCGTCAAAAAAATGATTATTTCATGAAATGAGTAGTGTTGAAAAATAAGAATTACATGCTGAAGCAACACACAAGAAAAAGCAAAACAAAAATCGTGAGAAGTAGTATATAACTAACGTAAGAGAAATTGTGACACTGCAATATAAAGTTGCTACAAACATTATTTTTATAACGATTATTGTTATATTATATATAAAGCGAGAGGTTTATTCAGATGGCGTAATATTATGATAGAGTTGTTTTTGTGCATCCATCCAATAATTAAAACAATTTTAGTGAAGAAAAATGTGTCTCTCTCACGTTCACATATTTACTGTATTTTTTTTTTTCAATATTAACCTAAAATCATTTTTCATATACGAAGCCGGATCGGTTAGGATTTGACTCCGCTTCAAAGAGAAGTTATATCCACTTAACAACTCCACAAGTGGCGGAATTAGCTCATGTGCAGCGTTTCCGATTCACACGCCAGAGGTTCAAAGTTCGAATCCCCGGCATAATATAGAAATACTATTAAAAATAGTTTGAAATAAAGTTAAAAGTAGTTTGAAATAGTATTAGAAATAGTTCAATCGTATATAAAAAGGTTTTGAGAATAAAAATTAAATTGAATAGAAGTAATGGAAGTAAGAATAGAAGTAATGAAGACGTAAGAAGATAGAAGATATAATGATAGATAATAAAGAAGAAAAAGAAGAATGAAGTTACGTTGATGAGTACATAGAATAGGATAGAATAAATAGGAAGAAGAATAGGATTTATATAAGAAAAATAGTATGAACATGAGGATTGTATTAAAATTGAAATATTGTAATGAAATTAAAATATGTTGTAGGTGGCTAAATGCTCGAGTAAGCGAGGCCAATAAAAATAAAAAAAAAAAAAACAACTCCACAACTCCGACAACTTTAAAACATAATAGTTGACAAAAATGTGTTCTCTAGTGTGTTGTCAACATATCTAAGGATTTATTAAGACTTTGGAAATAGTTTACAAATAGTTCAAAATTTTTCTTCATTTTATTATAATAATTACTATTTTATGCATTTCAATATGCATACAAATCTCAAATTGACAAAAAGTTTGGAATCAAAATCAATTTCGTAATTATTTTTGAAGAGAAAATGTAGAATTCTTTGAATATGTTTATTTTCATATGAAAATAATGCAGTGAACCTTATATATGAAATAAGAACAAATCTTTGTGTATAATATTTTTCACAAAATAATAATACCTCACATTCTTTTATTATTTCCTTTTCGAAAATTAATTATACATCAGGTTGTTCAATTAGCATACTATTACTTTTACACAATTATAAAATCATAATATACCTGGCCATTATATTCCTGGAAAGTCCTAAAAATGGCTGTGAGACGAGAAAAAAGACCACTTCTTTCGACCCAAATCTTTGTATTAGTAACAAGCTCAAGTAAATATCTGCACATGTTAACAGATTTAGTACTAGTTTAGGGAAGTCGGATATGACAAATCCTGTGGGACAACTCCACTCGGATTCACTCCGAGGAAGGAGTTGTATCGGAGTGATAACTCCGGAGTGAGTTACCCATCTCTAATCTGGATAAATTCTTCGTAATTCATTGTTGAAAAAAAAAATTGGGGCTTGTGTAATAAAATTTAACACGATGGTAATTTAACGTAGTTCATGAATTAAACGAACATCTTAAAATATTAGAGACATCCGAAAAGTGCTTGAATTATAAAAATTTGGACACTTAGGTCATACAAGCACGTGTTTGTGCACTATAATTATATATCAAATTTATAATTTGAAAAATCAATTCAAAATCGTTTTGATTAGTTTTTATTTATTAGTAAAATACAAAAATTATTTGCAAAATTAAGAGTGTAAGATTTTATCTAAACTCATACATTGCAATTTCTGTAGATTAAATCAATCATTCATAGACATCGGCAAGTTTTTGCAACTTGTCTTAAGGCAAAATGCCACTTACATCCAGTTTTCTTTAATATCTGACATACTATTTGGTTCTCGTACAAAACAAAATGTATTTATTTTATGACATTTTTGAGTGTACTAATCACTAGCTTAAACAAAAAAACATCGGGCATTTACACCGCAAAATTGCCGATGTTTTGATACAAAGTTTTGCATTTTTATATATTTATTTTCTAACAATTTTGGGAATTATCAAAAACAGGTAAGATTTATTAAATATTCTCATAACTCGATATATTAAAAAATCAAATGCTAAATATTTCGAAATCAAGTTTGGCAATTAATGCCAGTGATAAAATATTGAATTCGTGTAAGGTAACTCTCGTTTTTTTTTTCATTTTAGCCATGTCCTGCTTCATTACGTCGCAGTTTTGCGGCGATATGCGGCTAGGAGTGCGGGAGGACCGAAACAAGAAATTCGCATCGACTCGTAGACAGAATCCTTTAGTCCTTAGTCAAAGTGCATGGGTAAGGCTTCATGCTCCTTTCATTCGGCAACACCAACAAGCCGAGGAGCAAATGCATGACGATGCGTGAGTAGATGTCAATTTTTGCATTAACTAGTAGTGCATGGCATTGTGCCTTAAAGAAAATTGCTGAGACTTCCCGTACCGTAATTTAACATTTGTACAAACTTCAAAATTTTGAACATTTTTTTAAATTTTGAACACATTCGAATTTTTTTTCAAATTTCGATTTCTTTCAAAGCGATGGCGCTGCGTAGTTTTCTAATTGTTAAAAATTAGAAATCTTGGTATGAAACTTATAGAATCGTAAACAGAAGTAGTTATTATTTAAATCTCTATAGAATATCTGATAATTGATGCGGATATGTCTAATAATCAGTTTTACCTTCATATCGCGTTATTAACTTCCCGTAGGGCAAGTTATAGTAATCGCAAAAAAATCGAAAATGAAAATTTTTATATATCTTTACGTTTCAAAGGTTTCTGAATATTTTGGCATACCTTAGAAAAAATGGGTGTATGTGTGTGTGTGTGTATGTATGTGCGGATACAAATTTTCGTCGACGATTTCGGGAACACCGATCAACCAATTTCGATTCATATTGATAAGGAGAATCGAATGTTTTTGAAAGTGCGAAGAATGGCAATTCGGTTTTTGATAGAACGGAGCGTCCGGTATAAACTGATTCAATTTTTGGATTCAACTGATTCAATTTCATTAGATCTAATGTATGCCAAAATGTTCAGGAAGGCTTGAAACGTGAAGCTCTACAAATATTTTTATTTTCAATTTTTGTTACTATATATTACTATAACTCGTATTACTATAACTTACCCTACTGGAAGTTACTTAACGTTCTTCTTATAATACATTTGTGATATTTCTACTTATAAAAAATGTTGAAGAAAGAAAAAAAATGTGTGGAGCAAACATTGTAAAATAGATAAGTTAGAAAAAAAACCCTCCAAATCACAATTGTGTATAATATTTTAAGATATAGGGTCGTAAAGCTCGTTGAATGGTAATACCATTCCACTAGTTTTTAAATTAGTCTTACAATTAGAACAAAATATATCATTAGATAATTTGTAAATATTTTAGGTTTCATTACCGATTGCAAGAAACGAACTTTATGCCTCAACTTATTTAACATTTGACTAGTCTGATTTTTTTTTTATCTAAAAAGCAAGTTTTATAAACTTATCACGACGATATTAAAACGCAGTAGCATACGGTTATATCATTAAATGATTTTATAGAACATCACGGTGTCAAAACAATTACTAATTACATTATATGTGCTATAAATTGTGTTAATTTGTTTTAACTATAACTGGTGTAAAAATGGAATTCAAAATTGTTTTACGTTTAAATTTATATATTCGCCAATTTCAGATATCGAAAGTACTTGAGTGACGAATCCGATGCAATGTGTGCACAATGGGTTGACTCTGTAAAGGTAAGAAAATTATTTATGAAATTATAAATTTATATAGGCGGAAGTCCCCGAGTGCCGGACATCTAAGGTTATTTATAAATAAATCAAAAAATATTTTACGAAATGTTCATTAAATTATGACTTATGTTGGATAACAAAGTTAGAAATCAAACTAAATTAACAAAAACGCAACCTTTGCTAAAAAATAATTTATACCATAAATCAAACTTTGGTAACAAAGAATATGATTTTGCAAAGTGGCACCTAGTACCGGACATTTCAAAATAACCAGCATTGAACACATATGTAGCCATCTCCACACTTTGGAATGTCTGCACATGTGTGTTTGACGAATATGGCCACGCCTATGCTCTCAGCTGGAGCATTCATCATAATATTTACTTTCTTTGACTAGGAAATACGAAAAATGGGGGCATATAGTGACTGTTAGCACTCATACAGAACAAAATTAAATACTTAGAATAAATTACACCAATTCTCACAAGAAATATCAATATGATTACTGTCCGGCGCTAGGGGACGACTTAGTGTCCGGTGCTAAGGGACAGACATTTTCGTTTATTTGGTGGTACCTACTAAAATTGTTTAAAATATCTAATAATATTCTACGTGTTTACGGATAACAATCAAGTACTACTTTTATCTTTGCATATCACACAAATGTAAATGCATAAATATACTAGAATTACATTCATTGATATTTAGGTGACGCCGTGATTTTGCACCTAAAACAGCAAACGGTTGCTCTCGCCGTGGCCGTGTGCGTCACAAGCGATGCTTGGCGCGTAATCCTGTACCTGTGTGCCCCCCGTGCCCCTTTCATTTGTATTTTGAAATGAAAAGATTTATACTTGCTTAAATAATACGTGTTAAATACAGTGTCAGGCATTAGGTGCCGTCCGGCGTTACGGGACTTCCCCCTATGCATATCGCAATATAAAATATTTACAGTGATAATTGTACCAGTAAATTATCGTACTTGAAAGATTTCTATTGAAGAGCATATATATTAGGAGTAAATACTCAAATTTTATTGAGGTGTTTGAGAAGTCTGTGCTAGACTCGTATATAATTTAGAATTTTGCACTAACACATAAATAACTTAATCACAAATATAAATGTAGGAATATTTGTTCCTAAAATGAAAACTTTTAGTTCGTTATATTATTTTATTATGCTCTGGGGTTTCTAAATCTATACTCGTAAAATCTTATAATCTCTATATAACAAGATCCGTTTATAAAACCCTTTCCACTCGGATGCCGCTGCTCCGGCGGCAAAATTCATATGAATCTCGGAATTCGCTAGTAGAAAGGGTTAAAGACTTAACTGTAATTTTTACGATCATTTCAGTTATGTATTATTTCATGAAGTCATATAATTTGACTTAGAATTTCTTCACATCTATAACTTTTTTTAGAATGTTCGTATGCGAGTGAACGCAGCTCGGTTGGAAGATAAAGCTCAGAAAGTTGAGCAACAATTAGCCAAAATGCGCGAATTGGATAATGCAAAAATCGAGAAAAGACAAGCACTTTGCGACCAAGTAAAGCTGCTGATGGCATATGAGCATCACGGACCACGACAAATAACAAGGTCATATATAAAAATAAATTTTCAAAAATAATTTCCATATGTTTTCATTTATAGATCAATCACAATTATAGCAAAACTGATAGATTTTCATTTTTTATACAAAATGAGTTCTCTCGTGGGTAAGCGACTAGACCTGAATCAGAGATCTCGGGTTCGATCCCGCTTCGAGGATCCTGATGCCGAGCAATAGTGACATCCGTGTTTACTTGAAAATATATGTCGCTACTGCTTGAAATCAGACTGCTGGTTCAAAGCAACCATCGAACCTTTTCTTATTAAAAGCTCATGGCTTAACCATTGATTCACAGGAAAACCCTATTGATAATAATGCTAACAAAAATATCATTTCCACAGTGCACTATTGCATTCGCACGTCCTCAAAGAACGCGAAGCTCAAATTGAGTTTAAAAAAGAGAAAGAACGAAAAATCAAAGAGGCCTTAATCGAAGAAAGAAAGCAACTTGAGGAGGATGCCAAAAAGTTTTTCGAAGAACAGCACGGATCAGGCAGTAGCTCTTTAAAACTCAAAAGAACTTTGTGGCAGGAGCTAAAGGAAACGTAAGCAAATTTAGATAATAAAAAATAATTAAATGTAAAATGACCGTTTTCTAGAAGAAAACCATTTAATTACAAATTTAATAACTAAATTTAATACTATATATTTTAGAAGTTTTGTTTATAACAAAGTGCTATGAATTGAACTGCGCGAAGAGATTTATGGGACAATTCTGCCGCAAAATAGATCAATGTTATTGCAACGCTGTATTACTCTGCTTTTTCATATAAAATGGTACTGAAAACTGTCAAAATGCTATATTTGCTGTGCGATGAAGACATTTTACACATAAAATCTAACTTCTCATATGTGTTTTTATAGCACATCAGAATGATGCAGTTATGATAACATTCTTTTTTTGATCTTCGTGCATTTTCTATGTTAGATTTTATATCCAAAACGCCCAAGTAATTTCGTGCATTTTCTATGTTAGGTTTTATATCCAAAATTGCCCAGTAAATAACATTGCATTTTCGCCGTTTTTAGTACTATTTTATATGAAGAAAGCAGCGTTGCATTAACATTCGTCTATTTTACGGCAGATTTGGCTCATTAATTTACTTAATATAAAAATATTAACACACAAAGAAGCTCATTTTTTATAGAATTTTAAATATAATTTAATTTAGTAATAAATGAAAACGTAATTTTAATTTAGTACCAAATTAAATCTCAAAATTAACAATACAGTTACATCGCACGAGAAAGTTTGCTTTAGACAGAAAATCTGATTTGCTCATTTCAAATCTTCTTGAGTGACTAAATCATTCTGTATCGTTTGGCATCGAAATGTGTGTGTATGTAAGCCCAAATTTTACGTATTATCGATAAGGAGTCATATTGATTAGTTTTACTCGACGATTTTTTATCATTTGCAAATAAATTTATTTCTTAGCAATTATGAAAATCTAGTACCGATTTGGAAAGTACAAAAACTGTTCGAAAAATATAAGTTGGAAATAGTGCTGATTATATTTTGATAAAGAGTGGTGGCTGGCTGGACCATTTCTTCGTAATTTATTACTGAATTTTTTTTTTGCGATTTTAATGACTTTTGAACTTGATCTAAACAATTATCCTAGAATATTATACGTCTAAGACAAGTGGTTTAATTACAGAAGTAAGGTGAATAACATCAATTAAAAAACGCTTGAATTAAAAAAAATAGGTTTTCTTGGAAAGCGGAATCTTTATTTTCAATATTAACTATTGGAAATCTTATTGTGACAATTTCAACAATTGCTCAATTCTTATTAAGTCGATTATTTACTAAAACTTTCCTTAAGGCAAAATACCACTTAAATATTGTTTAATATTTTACACTGCACTTCCGTCGGCAGTAATCTTTTGAAAGAAAAATTGAAAAATATTTTCTTCAAACTTATTTATTCTACATAGATTGTTTTATTAACAAATCTAAGAATTTTATAAAGATTGGAACTTTCAAATACATTAGTGTACCGGTCAATTTGGCATATAAATAATTTTAAAATATATATAACATTGAATTACTAAAAAATGATACAAACTATCCAAATTATAATGTAACTATAATATAATGAATATAATTGTGATGAATCCGGTAGAGTACAGAAACGCAAATAGCTAAAATGTCGTGATCAGTCAAAAAAAAAAACAATAAATTATTAACTTATTGAAAAATTTAAATAAGTTTCATGTTTTTTCTAACAGTGGGGAAGAAAGACGTCGTGTGGCCGAAGAAAATGAAAAAATAGAAAAAGATAAAGCAATCGAGGACATCAAACTGGCGCAGGTAGAGTACAAAGCAGTTCAAGAAAAAGAAAAGCAAAAAAAGGAAGATAATATAAAAATATTTATAGAAAACTTTGAAACTCAAGTGCAAAAAAAACAAATTTTAGACAAGAAAAAAGAAAAAGTTGCCATGATCGAAGAAGCCATAGCGGACACTTATGCAGAAGCCAGGAAAGAAATGGATAAGCTAAAAGTTAGAACCATAACAAAGGTGATATTTTTATAATAATTGGATATACTTCTACAATATTAAACTTAAGTTTTTGGTAAATATTTGAATTTATAGAAAGTTGAAGAATTTGTTGCAAGAACTGAAAAAACGGCTAAAAAGGTATTCAAACCATATGATGCATTTGATATGGAAGCATTTGAAGAAAAAGTTGCTAAAGAGGAAGCAAAGTTTTACGCAAAGTAAGTTTTAAGTAAAAGATTCAATGCTCTGGCATTAATATTTTACTGTATTTTAATTAACACTTACAACATTGTTAGTAGAATTTGAAATGAATTGCTTGGGATTTTTATATCAATTTTATAAAACCGATATAAAAACGAATATATAAAAGACTGCTTGCTAAAAAGTAGATGTTAATGCCACCTTATTTGAAAATAATTTTTCAAAGTTTTTACATAATCATTAGAACAAATAAACAATATCCACATCAATCCCATTTATATTTCTAATAAGCATTTCTCTCTTTTACACAATTAAGACAAACCTTGTACGTATCTCCAATAAGTTGAAATAAATCTTACAATTGTATACGTTCAGTTTTTGCAAAGACCACCAATTGATTTGCAATTTTCAATTGATATTTTTTGAACAGAGTTAAAATATCTGCAATTATATTAATTATAGTACACAAACATGTTTATGAATGTCCTAAAAGCGCTACCCATTATCCTAAACTTTAACGAATTTTTATAACTTAATCACTTTTTATGGGGCTTTAATACATTAGAATGTTTGTTTATATCATGTACCTATCGACTTGTTAAATTTGACCATGATGTCTACCGTCAAAGTTTAATAAAAATCGTCTAAAAAAATGTTTCAATTATTAATTACAAAGAAATCGGCCCAGCCGATCTTTACCAAAAACAAATCAGCACGATTCCCAATATCTTTCAAACAGTTTTAGAAATTTTGAAATCGATTCAGGATTTTTGGCTAAAACATAAACGAAAAACACTTTTCTGGTAATTTAAAAAAAACGGCTTTGCCGATGGTCGCTGAGGTCTAATAAACACTAACCTTAAAATTTTAAACTCGTCAACGATCAAAGTCAAAGATCAAAAAGTGGCTCACAGATACTTTTTCCAAATTTGGTCTTAAACGATTAAGAGTAACTCAAAACCTCAAGAAAGTATAGAAGTCGGACTTTTTCGTGAAAATAAACTTCTCCCCAAAAAGTTAAAAATGAATGAATGAAAATAAAAAAATAAAGCTTCTTCAATATTTTACAAATATAATGATTAGTTCTAGGCACCATATTAGGTAACATTAGTCACTGCTGACTAACAATTATATCAATATTATTACAAACCATATAATTAATTATGTAGTTATCATTTGCATCATATTCAAATATCAAACCTTTAAATTAATTTTCTTAGACGAGAAGCCATCGAGCAAGCAAAGAAGGAAAAAATTAAGAAAGAGTTCGAGGAACGTCGTATAGCATTCGAAAGATGCCAAGAAGAAAACAAGACCCAGCATTATGATAATGTTATGCAAACTAGATGGAATCTCCTAAATAATTTCAAACAACACGAAGTCACCGATTCCATAGAATATCGCAAACTTCTGGCAAGACAGGCCGAATTAGAAAATACCGATAGAATCCTCTCTGAACAAATTGTTAGTATTTCAATAACGTTTTTATTTACGCTGTTATATATTTAAATTTAAATCAATCAGAAATGTATTACAATCAAGGGCTGCCAACGCAGTTTCTAGGGACAGAGCGTTATTTTGTTTAAAGACACGATGCGACTCGTGAATAAATGGTGGCTTTATGGGCCGTAAAATTGACCAATGTTATGGCAAGTCAAAGTTACGTAGCATTTTTCATACAAAGTCGTACTAAAAACTATCAAAAATGTGGTTGCTGTGTGAAAATCTAACCGAAAACGTACAAACGTCAAAAAAGCATCATCATAAGTGCATCTTTGAGATGTGGCGTAATAACATACGAGTGAAGTTACATATTATGTGTAAAACGCCTGATGGTACAGCAAATACATAGCATTTTGTCAATTGCCACTTTAGTATCACTTTATATAAAAAATGCTACATAACATAGCCTTCCGTTGGTTTATTTTATGGCAGAATTGGCCTATTAATCAAAAAATTATGTTTAATAATTGTAAAATAATTGATTGGATTACAGAACATTAGATATATAAATTTGCATTTAGTATAATTTACAAAGCAAATAATATTATAATGATCTATTTTTGACTGTGATTGACGAATATACTCGTCATGAACAAGTGGCAGAATATTGCATATTGGCGAGTATATTCGTAATGCGTATAAAGCAATGATCAAGTGCTATTTTAATTGAAATGTTTAAAGAAACAAAATATTCCAGAATGCCAAACATAAAGCATTTTAGAATATTTTGAGACTATGACTGTACAAAAAAAGTGGTTGTAAGTGGCATTTTACCAAAGCAAGTTGCATGAATTTCTCGAAAGGTGGAAATAATATACTTAATCAAAAAGAATTTATATTTTACTATTGAAATAACATTTTGAACTATTTATTTTATATAACAATTAACAGATTATGGTTTCCAGGCATTATTTTTTAACTTCCCGTAGGGTAAGTTATAGTAATCGCAAAAAAATCGAAAATGAAAATTTTTATATATCTTTACGTTTCAAAGATTTCTGAATATTTTGCCATACCTTAGAAAAAATTGATGTATGTGTGTGTGTGCGGATACAAATTTTCGTCGACGATTTCGGGAACACCGATCAACCGATTTGAAAAGTTTTTAAGAGAACGGAACATCCGATTTTAATAATCCATAAAACATTTTATTGTATTAACAAAATGAATATCTTGATTAAATTTTTGGTGAGGCAGGTCTAGCGGTTATGGACTCTCAATAAAAATAAGTTAAAATAATGCCATTTGGCTTTCAAAAATGTTTATTGGACATATGTACATCAAATTATCAGATATTTTATAAAGATTTTAACATTGTGTACACATTTTGTGTGAATTTTTTTGGGTCCTGTACCAAGATTTTTAATTTATTTATATGGTTCAAACAAATGTCCTCGACATTTTTGACAGTATGGAATAACCGATTTATGAAATTGAGAAATCATTCGGTTCTTACTCGATTGCGAGGCGTTTTTGCAAAAGGCAATTTTGCCGTTTCGGAGGTATGATGCGCAACGGGTGTAAAAACGGTTATGCAGTTTTTGAGAGAACGGATCATCCGAATAGATTAATTCAAATAAAAATTTGCTTGAGTAGACTGTGTGCAAAAAATGCATTTACAGAAAATTTAAATAATTTTGAAAACTTTCAAAAATGAAAAAATCAAAATTTTCAAAAAAAACTAAATTTTGAACAATTGAAAAAAAAAGATTTCTTACAAAAATTTGAGTATATTTCGATAATTTCAAAAAAAGATCGAATATTTTTAAAAAATTCCAAATTTTCAAAATATTTAGAAAAAACGTTTTTTTATGTTTTCAAAAAAATCTCTAAATTATGAAAAAAATTCTAAATTATCAAAAAAAAATCAAATTTAAAAAAAATTGACTCTTGTAAACGTACACATAAGTTGTTAATAAAAAACCGCTCGTCGCCCAATTTAAAAATCACTTATAAGTTTACAGTATGTAATAATCCATTTGAAACTAATCAAAACAATTATTCATTATTTTCATTCTTCGAATGTTTAATTACGGTACGGAAAGTTCCAGCAATTTGCCTTAAGGCACGATGCCATGCGCCCCACTAGTTTAAATTACAAATTGCAATTAAATAAACTGTTTATTGCAGGCCTTAAACGCACGGGTCAGAGAAGAAAGAGCGAAGGAAGGCCTAGCTTTCGACGATGTGAACCTCAATTACAAAGATACTGACGAATTCTTCCTGCAATATGCAAAGAAAGTTGAAGAAGAAGTTAAAGCACAAAATCTTTTGGAATATCCTGTACAAAAGGCTATACAGGTCAGTACTGACTAGGCAAATAAATAAAATAGCATTATATTTTTCAGAAATTATTTCAAAACATGTTGAACGCACAATAAAACTATTTTATAAGCAACTACTTACCTAAATTTTCAAAGATATAGCTTTATATGACGACATTATTATAACAAACATGTATTTGAAAGCCATTTTTCTTGCAAATTTTATGAATTAAGAATATTTTTATAAAAATCGTATTTTTATTTTACATTAAAAATTTGCTGCATTCCTTTTTCAGAAATTCAAGCTTGATAATGGAATGGTGACCCGCAAGAGTAAGTACGATAGTACTGAATAAAAGAGAAATACTGGCTAATAATCCCATTTTCAAGAACCAGTTGTTTTTAAATATACTATATTAAATGCTTCAAAATTCTAGTAATAACTTTGTCCAATAATTCAACAACAGAAATAGTTCATACATATGTTCAAATTAAATTTTTAGATCAATGTTGCAAGTGATGTCACAAATTATATGTAATTCTGTAAACTGTAATTTGTATTACATAATTCAAATTAATATATTAAAAATTTTGATTTAATCTAAACCATATTTTATTTATTTTATATAGATGCATTATGAGTTACGTTGAGCCACGATAATTTAGGAAATATTATTAGGAGTTATTCAATACTTTGATTTTTGTAAGCCACATATAGCAGTTATTTGATGGCATCATCAGTACTAAAAGAACTAATAATAAATACATTAAATAGATTCCAACTGATGAGATGCCTCTTAAAAAGGGATGTGGTTAAGAAGAATATTCATCTTATCTGCTCGTAGAATTCGAAATATCTAAATCCATTTCAAAAGGATCAAAACCACATGGATTGATATGAGGATTGATCGAGCAGATCTTTGTAATAAAAATTAATTTTTATTTATTTTAAAAAGACTGCCATTTATTTTAAGAATTCTAAATTTGTTCGAAACATCAGCTTTTTCATTTTGTTCTTGTCCAAGAATTGATTAGTGATACTTTGTAATTTTTTCAAATTTGAAATCGATTCGTTAGGTCTTCATTATTATTGATAAACTCGTTTGATTGATCAATATTTAAAGTGATGGTAAAATCGCATATGGAATCAAAGCAAATATTGCTAGATATTCCCAAATATATACCTAACTGGTTAGTTTATATCAGCAATTATTCCATTCCATTAAAAATAAATGTGAAGTATCTCAAAATTCTACTTGACAGAAAGCTTAACGTTACAGAACACTTAAACACCAAAATTAAACAAGCAAACAAACTTTTTCTTATCTTTATATCCTCTACTTAAAACTAGTAACGGGCTAAATTTACATAATAAGAAAAAAACCTATATTATAATGATTTGCTCATTACTTCTATATGGATGGCCTATTTGGTGTGCAACTAGCCAACATAATATCAAATACACAAATTTCTCAAAATAAAATGGTAAAACCGATTTTCGAAGAAAAAAGAGACCCAGTAACGCACAACCTCACTTCTAACAATATTCACGAAAAAGCAAATATCTTAAAAATCAAAGACTTCATTAAAGTCACAAACAATTTCTAGAAAGGTGCACTGATAGTGACAATATCAATGTCAAACTAGCTGTAAGTGGAATTCTGTCTTAAGGCAATTAGGGCATCGTGCCTTAAGGCAAATTGCTGGAACTTCCCGTACAAAAATTATTATTTTTTTAAAAACCGATTAACATTTTTGAAAAAATTTTACTTCGAAAAAAATAGATTTTTGAGAAACTATAAATTTGACAAAAAAATACTTTTTTTTGAAAAAAAAAAAATTTATTTGAAGAAAAATTTTTGAGAAAAAAATTTTTTTTTGAAAACAAAAAAAAATTTTGAAAAAAAATGTTTTCTTCATTTTGACATATTTTGAAAATTCTGAACTTTTTTTCACTTGCACTGCACTGCTTGAACTGCATAGAGACGAAATGTCAAAGCTCGCTAGTGCCGCGCCGCCGTCTAACGCGTAAACATTGGTACGGAACCCACAGAAATGTAAAAAAAAAATATACTTATTGTTGAAATCTCTATAAAATATCTGACAATTTGATGTGCATATGTCTAATGATCATTTTTAACCGCCGAATGGCATTTTTTTTTACTTTTTTCATTAGATCTCCGAAACCGCTAGACCTGCCTTCATGAAAATTTGATCAATTCTACATCTTGTCAATACAAGTAAAATGTTTTTTGAATTATTCAAATCGGACGCTCCGTTCTCTTAAAAATGGAGGTACCGTTTTTGGCACTTTTTGCCCCGTATCTTTGGAACGGCTGGACCTGCCTTTGCCAAAAACTAATCAGCACGTCTCCTTATCAATACGAATCGAATGTTTTTTGAATTATTCAAATCGGTTAATCCGTGTTCCCGAAATCGTCGACGAAAATTTGTATCCGCACATACATACACACACATACATACATACATACATACATACATACATACATACACACACACACACACACACACACACATACATCCATTTTTTCTAAGGTATGCCAAAATGTTCAGAAACCTCTGAAACGTAAAGATATATAAATATTTTCATTTTCGATTTTTTTGCGATTACTATAACTTGCCCTACGGGAAGTTAAAAAATGACTGGTGAAACAACTGAAGACATCTTTTGGTACAATAATTTCAGACTTCCAAACTTCATAATTAACCAATAATTTATATTTATAATTTCCATAAATATCATGTGAAATGATCTATTACTTCATATTTAACTTACTCATCCTTCCTTTTACTGTCCTAAGTTCTACCATATCTTAGTATATATATATACTTTTTTATAGAATTAAAGCAATTATTTTGTCATAACAAGCAGAAAGTTTTTTGAATCATTCAAATCGGATGCTTATTTCTCTCAAAAACTGCCATTTTTTGCACATTGAGCACGGCATCTCCAAAACGGCTGGACCTGCCGTTGCCAAAACCTAACCACCACTTCTCCCTGTCATTACAAATGTTCTTTAGATCATTCAAATCGGATGCTCCATTCTCTCAGAAACTCGATTTCTATTTTCTGCAATGACTGGACCGGCCCCTTTGCCAAAAACTTATCAGTACATCTCCCTATCAATAGGAATCAAATGTTTTTCGAAGCATTTAAATTGGTTGATCCCTGCGCCCGAAAACGTGGACGAAAAATTGTATGCATACATACATACACACACACACACATCCTTTTTTCCTGAGGTATGATAAATGTTGAGAAACCTTCAAAACGTGAAAAAATGTGAAAGTTTTCAATTTCGATTTTTGGACGATCACAATAACTTACCCTACGAGAAGTTAATAAAAACAACTCAATATTTAGATATCGGGATAAGGTATAAAATGTCACTGACAGCAAGAAGTTTGCCAATAACAGAGATGATAGCAACTGTAACTTTTTTTTAATATCTGCACCTATTCCATCAGCAATTTTGTTGTAGTCCGGGTATAAGCAACTATAACTTTAACATCAAATTTAATTATGGCTGATTTTAATTTATACACGAAATAAAATAAATAAACAAAAATATAAATATTATACATATTTTATTTAGAGCAAATAAATAAGTTAGTATAAAATGTCGAGTTGTGGCAATTGTAACAATTAATATATAACAATTATCGTTAATACTTTTGCCTAAAATAAGCCTTGATATAATAAGATTATAAATATAGTTGATAACAGAAATGTATCAGCATTTACTACGGACTACGTGATCATACAAAACGACGTGTTCATATCTGTCCGTAAAAATTCGGGTACGGGTAGTATTGCTTCCGGGAGACGGTAGACTTGGATCCGGGCAAATGATTAGACGATCGTGACGATTTTGGAATAATAGTCCCCTGTGTGGGTCTACTATTGCCTGCCCAAAATTATATAGTAAACATAATGCCGGAAACAATATATGGTCTAGAACTAATAATCAATTAAAAACATAAAATTATTCTTCAGTTTTAATTTTTTTATAAATTACTTTCTTTATACGACTTTTTATTCTATTAAATTATTTATAAGTGTATGTTTTATTTTGATTGCTTCTTTATATTTTTATGCACATATAACGTTTAATTTATGATTCTTAATAAAATGTTTCTTCATGTTGTAATTATTTTCTATATTCTCTAGCACAAATTAGGTCAAGTCTACATGCTTCAATTTTTCATCTGTTAATAAAATATGATAAAATATTTAAATAAATTTCTTCATATTCTCAAGAACAAGATAAGGGGCAGATTCTGTCGTGAAATAAATCAATATTACGCTGCGTTTTTCATATAAAATGATATTAAAAACTGTCAATATGCTATATATTTGCTGTGCATAAGGCAGTAGAACCACATAGCATTTTGACAGTCTTAGAACCATTTTATGTAAAAACCTTAAGCTTTAACATTGGTCTATTTTACGGCTAAGTCTACTTTATATGCTTTGGTTTTTGAATTGTTATTAAAATATTTCTAAATGAAACATACTTTGTAGTTGTTCGTGTCGTTACAAGTACTTCTGCCAACGCGCCAGTGGTAGTACCCTAGATCGTTGGTCTTGGGCCAAAGACGCTTATTGCCTTTGAAAAAGTCCGTCCAATCATCGGTCACTAATTTTTCAGCGTAGTCTATGTATCCTGATATTTCAAAACCCGTTTTGGTGTAATGACGCAGAAATATAATAGTCTGTTACCAAAAATCGTAATAAAATTACTATAAGAATAAATAAATTTAAATTCAATATGGCTAAGACTAGAGGTGGGTCGTTGACGGTTTTGCCGTCAACGAAACGAAACGGTTATCGGGGTTTCGTCAACTAGTTAAATAACTAGTTATTTTTCAACTGTAGTTATTTTTAACGATTCAACGCTGGCAACGTTAAGAAACTGATAGTTGAAATAACTGTTTCATTGAAAGTTGGTAATATGAAGTTTGTTCTTATAAAAGTCAAGTTGACGTTGGATTTGATGAATAAAAAGAAATAAATGTGAATTGTCACATTTATTACACACACACACAGATATATATATATATATATATATATATATATACATATATATAATAAATAAAGGTTTAATTTAAAAAACTTAAATATTTTCATTACAGCAAAGCCATATACTAAAACATCGAATTTACATGTTATATAAAAATAGCAATATAAAAATGTATAGTTATATAAAATGTTATGAAAAATAAAAAATCAATTTTCAGGTTTAGTTTAAAAAAATTATTACAAGACAAATGCTATGAGATTTTTATGAAAAATATTAACCATTGAAAACTATAATAAATGTAACTGATTTTCTAAAATTAAACGATTTGGCGCGTGTTGCAAGTTTCTTTTAAGATGTACATGTACATTTGCAATATTATAAAAGCAGTAGCCTAACAATAAGCGATTTTCATAGTATTAGTTGATCCTTTCCGACGCAGGTACCTGCCTACGTTCGTTTTCGACAACGAACGAATTCCTATATCGTTGAAAAAACTAACTGGCCGCCATGTTTTCAACTGTTTCGAAACCAGTTGATTTTCAACTAGTTATTTCGTTGCGACGAAACGGTTAGTTAGTTAACGAAGAAGAAACGGTTGAAAATAACCGTTCGTTGATTCAACGCCCATCACTAGCTAAGACTATATATTTATATATTTTTTAACTTCCTGAACCAGAATTTCATGATTCTGGCAGTAAGGGGGCGTCCATTAATCACGTGATCGATTTTTTAAGGATTTTTCGGACTCCCCTCCCCCTTGGTGATACGTAGTGATATTCAAAATTACCCCCCCTTCCTTCCTCCACCAAACATCACATGTATTTTTAGTTACGAGAAAAAATTTTGAAGTTTTTGTTTTTTTTTTGCAAATGTTTGGATTTTTTAAAAAAAAATTAGATAAAAATACATACACGTGATATCTTACTATACCCCACGTGATATTTCGTGATTTTTTGTCAACCCCCCCCTACCCCTAAAAACCCCACATGATTAATAGACGCTGCCTAAACTCGATTTGTTAATTTTACGATTTTTCGATGTGTCAAGTCATTCTGAATCATTTGATACGAAAATTAGAAAAGTGGAGAGCATAGCTCTTTGGTAGCGTGTTCGATTCACACGACAGGGATCTTCGAATCAAATACTGTCAATGATTTAGAATTTAGGAAAAAAATATGTGTAGTTAATTTGAAATCAAATAAAAATTGTATTTCTTAAATAGAATTTGAATAAAAATTAAGAAAAATAGAAATAACAGAGTTCGAATAGTAGAATTGAATTAGGAGTAAGAAGAGAAATATTGGAACTTGAAAGAAGAATGAAGAAAAAAAATGGAATGAAGCTAGAAGTTATATAGAATTAGAAATTTGAAAAAAAGAGCTAGAATTGAAGAAAATAAGAAGAAAAATTAAGAATATAGAATAGGATACATAAATAGATTGAAAATGATATAAAAAATTAGAATGTAAATAAATAAAAATGTTTGTAAGTGGCTAAATGCTCAGAGTAAGCGAGACCAAATAAAATTAAAAAAAAAAAAAATTGGAAAAAGATATGAGTGTGTATGAGTTTTTCAATTTATCGATTTCTCAAAATCAGCTGTACCTATTTCAATCACTTAAAATACATTTGATGAACGCGGTAAGGACACGTATTTTTCGGCGTTTACCTGCCAGCAACTTGACGCTAAATTTTTATGAAAACGTACATTCTCTAAACGCGAAATTATGCAGCGTAATTCTAAAAGTAAATGAGGAATTGAAAGGAAATTTGTTTTATATGAATGTGAAAACATTGAAAAACTCATTTATAAGTATCAAATTTATTTTATAATTTTTTACAGTGAATTTGAAAGCAAATACAAAATGCATAGCAGGTTGATTCCAGTGTCGATATAATTTATATATAATTTTGATTTTAGCCTTGTGCAAATACAGAAGTAAGTTTGATCGTAGATACGTGTTTCCTTTTTCTAAATGTTTGATATTTCATAACTTTTTACACTTAGTTTTTAACGAATGCGAAAACTAGTATCAAATTGAACATATTTTACTTTAAATATCTAAACTTCAACTCGATCGTTGTTATTCGGATCGATTATTTATACGTATCGAAAAGACCATATAACTTGCCTTAAAGCAAAATGCTACTTGCAACTAGTAAGTAATTATCGACTGAAACTCGGCCGTAAAAATCAGATCAAATGGAGCCCGTTGCAAAATATTTTGTCAGTCCTTGTTAAGTAAAAATCGTCACTTTGCACTCGATTTAATTTTAACTACGAAGTTTTACGGCGTACTCAATTACAAGTTGTATATGGTTCCACTACTGGCCTTCTCGCAGGAGTAGGTGGTACTGATAATGAATTCTGTGATCAAATAACAAAGCAGAAGAATAATCTATCATAATTAACCCCTTAACCTACAAATTAGATTTAAAAATGTTGGGCCATAATTGTACAAGTTCCCGCAGCGTTCGTGGCCATTTCCAAAACACATTGATCCAACATACAGTGTGTATAAAATAAACATACAGTGTGTAGTTTATCACAAAAGTAATTTTGTATTTATGCGTTGTATAAATAAATATTTTGTAATACTTTCGCCTAACACTAGATTAAAACTGTCGATGTACAATACAATTTTATTATACAAAGTTATTCTCAAACCAGTTTGGATGTATGGCATCCATCTATGGGGTGCTACTAAAGTCAGTAACTTACAAATAATGCAACGATTTCAAAATAAAATATTCAGACAAGCAATATCCGCGCCAAGGTATGTACCGACATGGCTATTTCACCAAGACACGGATACACTGACAATCAGTGAAAAAATTAAAAAGAGTGCCCATAATTTCAAGACTAAAATTGACTACCATCCAAACGAACTGATTGCAAGTCTTTACAACACCACACATAATATAAGATTTAAAAAAATACAATTAATAGATCTAACATATTAATCAGTAATAAGTTGTTATACAATATTATTTAAAATAGGTGTGTGTATGTATGTGTATATGTAGTCTGTGTAATGTACTTTGTTTATAATTGTATGTATACTTGAGTTTCTTTTTTTCCTTTATTATACCAAAATTATAATATAATTTAGTACACTAATAAAAGGTGAACCACTAAGTTTTCCTTTTAAAATTTAATATGTTATTTGTCAAACTAATTACTCAATGTCTTTTTATTTAGACAGATTGTAATTTATAAGAAAATAAAAAAAACTTGCGTCTAACACATTGCATAAGTTTATAATTGCGTATCAAATATTCCACGTAATATTTACATTTTGTTCGATCACCGTATCGGGTTATGCCCGTAATATTTATTTGGCCTAGCCATCGTACGCGGGCTATGCTCGTCATAGTTATGGATCAAAATCGTCGCTTACAGGAATCCATGTAAATAATTTTGGGCAGCCTTTTGGGCCGTAGCCTTTATGGATCGGTGACCCATGGCATTTTGCCATTCCTTCCACCCTATAGTTACGCCACTTACAAATATTGCTTTCATTACGTCTCGAATAACTGAAAAACTTTTATTTATTATAGAACAAACAGACACGGTAAAAGATCTGAGTTTCCATTTAGATAAAAAGCTAACCTAGAAAGAGCCCATCAAGAAGAAGAGACAGCAACTTGGAGGCGAGAAGGAGATTTCACTGACTCCTCAGGAAGAAATAAAAACTTGACATGCACAACACAATTTACTTGTACAAACCTATTATTAATCCAATGTGGACATATGTTGTACAATGGGGATCAGTTTAAAATAAATGGCAAAAAAAATTAATTGCCCAAAAGTATGTATACTCAATAAACGATGAAATATGAATACATTCAGACGATTACAAAAGTCTCGAGGATTATCCAAACCCACTTACCATCTACTAGGCAGAGAACTACGTCATAAGGCCAAGATTTAAAAAAAATCTTGTTACATATGTGCCCATAATTATGAAAGTGGTCTAAGTCAAAATTTAAAAAAAATGAGTTTATCAGTTATTTCATACCACATTAGTTTAAACTAAATGTATTCAATGTAATTTTTACGAAATTGTCAAAAATGAACCGTTAGATAGTGGTTGTAATTTCAACATTATATGAAATTCATTTAGTGTTAATTATGAAAGTGGTCTAAGTCAAAAATTTTTGGTATCAGGTCATTCCTTTCTACCGAATGATCGTGATTTTGGGTTGATAGAAATGAAAATGAAAAACACAAATTACTTATACAACCCTGAGCATTATTATGAATTGATAGAAAAGTGCAGAAGAAGCAATACATTTTCGATAAAGCGAATGTCGCAGCCGGATTTTATTTCAACGAAATCATTAGAAGATACAATAACAAGAATAGTAAAAAATACCGCGGGCGAATCTGTCTCTTGGCTACAAATTCAATGGATCAGATTCTTGAAAAATAAACCTTATAAAATTTTTTATGTTTTATAAAACTTCTTTAGATGATTCTACATTTCACGTTTTGGATCTTTCACCTAAAAGAGAAAGGCCAAAAATATACGGAAATATTAAATTACTTCCATTATACACCAGCATTAGACCAGTATCGGAAGAAAAACAAAAATATTATGAGTTTACTACCGTACATCCCTCCAGTTTTTCAGGAACATTTTAAGAATCTTAAATACTCGAAATAATGATAAAAATGGATTACCGTTTAAAAATAATTAATAAATGCTCACGAATTATTTCAATAAAATTATTGTTTCAAATAAAACTCAAAGTTTTTTATTGCTTTAAGTCATTTATATGACATTCAGTTAATTTTGAAAATGATCTAAGTCAATTCGACCTTTAAAAACAATATTATCGTATGAAATTCACACAAAATTTCATATTCATAATAAATTTCCATTAAGTAAGACTAATAAAATTAAAAATTAAAATGTCGCATAATGTAAAAATATTTTTTAATTTATTCAAATGCAAATCATTAAATATCTCGAAACAAGAAATATATGACTTAGACCACTTTCATAATTATGGGCACATATGATTAAATATTTCAAATCTGACAATGGTAAAAATATTGTGTATGTTTAATGTACTTTTATTTAATTCCACTGTTTTACTTGTCCATTTAAGGATAGGAGTATAATTACTATATAAAAAAAATATTTACACTGAATTTATGTAGTCTATCATCCGAGCAAAATGATAATACCCATGAGCATAACCAAACGCAACCTTATTTTGTTTATCAAAATATGTACTAATCATTAGTGTGAGAAGAGTGATGAAATGCTTAAGTTAATAAATACCTTTGCTGCCATGCGCAAATACCATGCGGTGTGCCGTCTAATGTTTTGTTTTGTCCATTGAATTTAATTTTTCACAACAATTATTAAGAAAATTTATGAATGCACTCGGAATTATCCAAACCAAGTTCCTAGTATAAAAATATATTCCACAAATTTATGAAAATTTAAATATTCACTGCATTTCCGACAACAAATACGACCCGATTGACATGAAATGCCAATAAAATGAATATTGTTATGCAATTTTTATCATAAACTGCCGCATGTCGTACCGCCAACAGTCCGACTCGATTCGAGCGCTCCCTTAGCGCCAGCTCTTGATGGAGCTGCTCGTTACTCTTCATTCCCTCGCTGCACAATATGTAATGTTTGCGACTGGGATACACATATTCCGTTACTGCAGCGAGGCGACGAATAAAAGCATCCTTTGTTAAAGTTTCGCCCGAACTCCTGAAGAAAACGACAAACTGGGTATGAGTGGTACTTTGCCTTAGGGGGCATCCATTAATCACGTGAGGTTTTTAGGGGGAGGGGGGTCTGACAAAAAATCACAAAGTATCACCTGGGGGAGGGAGGGGTCTAGTAAGATATCACGTGTATTTATTTTTTAACTGACTTTTTAAAAAAAATCAAACATTTTCAAAAAAAAATTAAAAAATTACAGTTTTATCACGTAACTGAAAATGCATGTGATGTTTGGTGGGGGGGGGGGTATTTTGAATATCACCATGGATCACCAAGGGGGAGGGGGGGTCCAAAAATCCTTAAAAACTCTCTCACGTGATTAATGGACACCCCCTAAGAGGGCGTCCCGTAATCACGTGAGCGATTTATAAGGATTTTTTTATCTTCTCCTCCCCGTTGGTGATATTTAAAATTACAACCCCCCTCCCACGCCAAACATTACGTCTATTTTATATAATAGGTACTATAGTACCTAGAAAAAATCGTAAAATTTTTGAATTGTTTATGAAAAATGTTGGCTTTTCGTTTGTATTGAGGTAAAATTAAATACACGTGATATCTTACTAGAACCTCCTTTCCCCCACGTAATAATTTCGTGATTTTTTGTCAAACCTTTCATCCCCTAAGGCTCACGTAATTAATGGAAGCCCCCTTAAAGTAAGTTTCATGAACATAAATAACTATTGAAATTTAGTTATTTAGATAAACTTTTCAACTGTTTATTTCTGAAATGAAGTTTTGTTTCACTAAAAACCAATTAATGCGACTTTAACCCTTTGCGCTCGGCTGTTTCCTCTTGAAAACAACGTAAGTCTAGTATATCGCTCGGCTGTCTTCCCAGGTACTCTGTAGTTTGTATGCATAATAACTCAGTTTGTACTAAAGTGACGAATAGAATAGATCAAGGATGAGCAACCCGCGGCCCACGAGAATCATGCGGCCCTTTCTGCGGCCCGCCAAGCATTTCTAAAGTAGAATTTTATTTATATCATCAGCTTTCTTTCATCAATAAATTAATAATACTGTGTTTTGCATTAATTTATGTAATATTTATTGTTTTTAATTTTGTATTTTTTGTGAATTCTTAATAAGTGCAGCCCACCATAAAATTTTAAAAATAAAATGCAGGCCGTGGGATAGAAAGGTTGCTCATTCTTACAAAAAATCTATGCAGTGACAAGACAGTGTCATCTTTTTAAAATTTACTGTTAGTTATATTATAAGTATTTTTTACATTTTTTTATCATATAACCCTTTTTTTCTAAATACGGTAGAACGAGCGAGCAATTCGTAAAGCTAAATTACGCTAAGTAAATACACGCATGGCAACAAATCATAATAATACAAGTGTCTGACCTGTATCCGAGTTCTGCAATTGATCTAGCTGCTTCAGTACTTTGCAAGTAACAAAGATCAGAAGTTGTTGTCAAAGAATCTAAATAGTCCTCATAAGTTTTAAACTGCAGAAGTCTGCGATCTCCTTCCACTTGTCTTGATGTAGTCATTTTCGTAATTGTTAATTTATTAATTTATATCAATTTTACTAATAAATTTGAACCAAACCTGACCTATTAATTAATTTTATTTAAATTTGAAATATTGTTTTTTTTTAACGGAATATTTTGTTTTTTTTTTAATTTAAATTGCTCAAAGGATAAACAAGCAGGCTACTTCATTGTAAACACATCTCTATTAATTGCTCCAACATGTTTTCAGTTCCAATTATTCAATATATCTGAGGAGCTGCCCGTGCTTGCATCTACAAAATAAGTTATTCCTCATTATTAAGTAAATATACTATACAACTTTATTTACATAATCTATTTTGATTCAACTACTGCTCACCTATCATAAATTTATGTTCAACAATGCAGTACGTAATTACAGGATAAAAGTTCAAATACAAGATAAAAGGATAAAAAAAAAACAATACATGTAAAATACATATTTTTTATTAAAATAGATTATATGTTCTATATAATATATATTTATACAATTGCAAATTCTCACATCCCCACATTCATCTCAAATATGAAACAAGTATAGTATTTAAAATGGTCAACATGATTTTACAAGATACATTATATATGGTATAAAAAGTATGATAAAATCAATAAAAGAATGGAATAAAATATACACTCGTATGATTAAAAATGTTTGAATTATTCAACATATGAATTATTCACATTATAAACAAAACGATCTCGCAAAATGATTTTCTGGTAAACAAAAATAAATTATTTTGCCTTAGCTTGAGCTGCAGATCGAGATCTAAGATTTTTGTGCGTGTTTTGATCTACCTCAGGAAGGTCCGATTCTTCTCGTTTACCTAAAAAATTGTCAATAATATGAAATAGTTTTAAAAAAAGAAAGATTATATGTATTAAAAAAAAAAACAAATACTTTCTGAAAAATAAGAACATTAAATCTATAAATTCAAACAATTCAAAGCAAATAGAAGCTAATTGATCGATTCAAATTATATTATTTACAATAAACACATATAAACCTCTGAACGCAATAAATTCCAATTATCATTGCATTAATAAAAAAAAATCTAGAAAACCATTAATAAATAAACACAATGCACCATTAGGAATGCACCATTAAGAAAAAGTAATTTTTAAAGCATATTTCTTTTAAAGTTTTGGAAATATATAATTGTATGTTATCTCTTTATAAAAAAAAAAAAAAACTTTCCAAACAAATGCTTGAGATAATTCAAAATTTAACATCTAAACATGTTATAAATTAATAATAATATTAATATTATTCACCTTTATCCTTTTTACTTTTATCCTTCTTCGAATCTTTTTTGCCTTTAAGATTAAAAGCAGCACTGATAGCACTCTTTTGTTCGCGTGCTCTAGCCAATTGTCCTGTGATGAACGTGAACATCAGAAAAGCTTGTAGAGAAAGAACAGCAAGAAGAGATCCAATACGCAACACATAAGGTGCAGGAACTATGTTTTGAGCCAATCCATACCAGAAGGTCAAGACAGATAAAGTAATAGTAGCAACATGAACAACAACAAATGTTAGACGAGTAACTAGACTGCAAGCTGTAAACAAGCATAGAATACATCATATTTTTGATAGGTAAATATTTACTTAGATTATTTTGCAATAGATTACATTATAGAGTCCCATAATTATTAGGCTCTTATCAACTGGTTTGAGGCATTTTTAATTTTAAAGACATTTTCTATAAATAATGGTATTACAAATAATGACATTTTAGCCTCAATCTAGATTTTAATTGCTCAAAATGCTGACACTTCATTATTTTACTGTACAAAATTTTATAAATAAGTCTTTCCATGTTAAATGAGCAATACAGGGTACGCCATTTATATGTGGTCAATGGAAATGTTGAATAACTTGAACAATTTTCAATGAATTTTGATAAACTTTTATTATCAAATTGAAAGCCTTGTAACTTTTTCCAACTAGGTTCACAAAACAACATCGATCAAGTGACCCCCTTCATTGCACAAACAAAACTTTCCATTCCATTTACCACATGTTGATGGCGCATCCTATATAAAAATATATAATTCTATAATAATCTTAATTTTTGTTTCAATTTTTTTTAACATTATGTTAAATTTGAAAAACAACAAATACTATTACAGGCAAAACATACACAAATTAACTTTAGAATTTATGCACAATAAGTTACGTAAATGCACTATACTAATTGTAATTCTTTAACAGTATTGTGTCTAATTTTATGAATACACATTTATTACTTTTGGTTCAAAACAACAAAATATTCATGAAATTTCAAGATAACATTTTCACTTTTGATTTAATTGCCAAATCAATAGTTTTTTTTTTTATTAATTAGATTTAGATAATTTGTAGTATAATCCATCAATATATTTTAAGAATATTGGCTATATTGTTAGGTGAAAAAATTGATCAATCACTAATAATTAATCCTATAAGATACACAATTTAAAAAAAATTACCTGAAGTGACTTTTTCATCCTTGTCAAGAATTTCAACCAATCGTACAGAATGAAATACAAATTCCGAAAAATAATGCAGAACAAGTAAACATAATGCAACACGTTGCAAGCTAAAATAAGATAAATAAAATTAGTCGATTAGTGATTTGTCACACTTCATTCCAAAATTGTATATAAAAAAACTAATTACTGGAAGAAATAAGCCGCTCCAACAAAAGTTAATCCACAGAGAGCCTGTTGAATTCGAGCACCCCATTCTTCCTTCTTAATCCGTTGGAAATATAATTCTGGCAAAACATGAATCCAATAAGAAAGTTGAAAAATGAAGAAAAGCTTCATCAAAAATCCCATTGGATGATTTGGAAAACCTATATTTCAAATAAATAAATCAGTATTGTTAAACTTAAAATGATAATGACTTTAAATGTTGAATTTTAATAAAGATTAATGCAGTGTTTACCTTCCCATAGAGCGGAGATGTTTCCTAAGAATCCTTCTCTAAGAATAGCATCGGCTCCCCAAATAACAGAAGTCAAATAGAAAACTACGAGCTGCCCAGATTCATTAAACTTAGATAGTTTTGACTTTGACAAGTGTAGCCTTTTAGAAATTTTCTGTGAATACAAATTTTCCATTATACATAAAAAATTAATATGAAACAAAAACAATATTTTATCATGGCTGAAAAGAAACTAACAGAATATAAATAAACTAAAAGAAAAATAATAATGCTCAAGAGTTGTATTAGCACAATTGCTATACACATATCCCCCATTTTACATAGAAGATACATCCCATAAAAAACCATGTGACTTAAAAAAAATTCACTCTTAAATGGAAAACCATGCCAAATGAAAATCGCTATAAAAAACCTATTTTTCAGTTTTTAATAAGATGAATAACAAATACAATAAACAAAAAATAAATATTAATATAATTAATATCTGTTTGATATTAATTATATATTTAATAAATTATAAGAATATTAAATTATTTCAATGATAAAATATGAAAAAAACTGTTTTGAATATTGTATTTTTTATAGATACAAATTAAAATTGGTATGTTCAAATATAACTTTGCTTTTAATCTCTAGTCTTATTTTCATATTTTGCCATTGTCTAACTACAATTTTTTTTTATAAATTAAAGATCTTGAAAAAAAATATTATGAATGAATTTATACTATAAATTATATTATGAACATTGATTAAAAACCAAGTTTAAGAACATTGATGCTCTTTGTTTTGATATTTCAAACAAACCAAGTTACACACATAAAATTTAGTTTTGATCATATAATGGGGAGTTTCCGTCTTATCTACATATTTCCATCATAGACCTAACCTGTGTACTAAGAATTCGTAACTGTAACATACATTTTGTAGTGTTCTATTATGACAATAAAACAATGAAAAAGTTATTGTAGATATAAGCAAATTATAGTTTAATGTTTATAATTTCGAGTAAATGCAAAATTAACTATTTGAAAGTGGCACGTATCCTTGAGGAAAGTTGCATGAACTTATAAATTATAGTTTAGTAGTTATAATTTCATGTAAATGCTTAATTAATATATTTTGTTTGCAAAAAATTATTCAAAAACCGTACGAGATCAAAAATGTATTGTTAACATAGACCTTATACAATTTCATGGACTGCTAGTCCCGATACATTTCTCAAGTAAAAAAATGTCAAAAGATGTTCTATGGTATGAGGGCATACGAGGGTAATTTCGCGGCCGAGATATGTCAAACTCGATTGCTTAAACGTCAAATGAAAGTCCGTGTGTTCGAAATTGTTGGGTAAACATTATATAATATACAATTTAGGTTGAACTAATGAATGTAATGAACTATTTATTTGTTTATTTATTTTAGGTATACAAAGTGTTCAAGGGAAATTAGAAAAAAAATTAAATATTTTACATATTATAAAATTCACTGAAAATAAGAACAGTTGGCTAGAGCTATTATAGGAAATTAGAAAGAAATAATGAAATATTTGTTTAATTGTAACATATTTATTATTGACGTTTAAAAAGCATAATTTTCGTGTGAAAGTGGCGTACATGTTTATCAAGTTTGCTTTTTTATGTTCTTCATGGTGCATTCTATTTGTTAAGTACATTTTACCACAGACCAAACACATTTTAGAAGGCATTTTACTTCTTATTGATTTTGTCTGCTACTAACAATTTTAAATCTGCTACTAACTTTATCCTCTTTTGGGCAAAAAACACAACACGAGCGAACATCTCGTGAACCCAAGTAACTGTAAAATTTAAGCGATCAAGAGCATTCGACTAATCTCGGTAAAGCTCGTGTTCGTATTTGATATATCTCGGCCGCGAAATTACCCTCGTATGCCCTCATACCATAGAACATCTTTTGACACTTTTTATGCGCTCAACTAGCAGTCCATGTATTGTATAAGGTCTATGATTGTTAACAAGAATATTTGCAAATTGTATGAAGATTGTGCAAGATAATGTTTTTATTTTTGTTATATAAAAATTGACACTTTATATAAATGATGCATATGTTTAACTCACATCCAGACAATATTCTTGCAAAATGGCATGCATAACAGTGCAGATCAAAGAATAGAAAAATACAGCACAAGCGTCTTTCCATCCGGCCTCATATTGAAAAGGTGACCCCCTTGGGGATTCCCTCGTAGGTTCATTTCCACTGATATTATGGTGCAAGGCAATAAACAGGCTAGCCACGGGCGCAGTGGTCTATAAATTAATAGATTATATTACTAAAATAATAATTTTAATTGATAATTACATCGCAACAAATCACATATTGTTTTCTAGGTTATGTATTTTATTTTGACGTGGCATTTGACATATCCATATGGAAACAAATTGAAACAAAACAATTCCGAGTTACCTGAATCATCAGACCGACCACAAATAGCATAGCCACGCACGAAACAATATCAGCATGATTTTGTATTATAAATTCGTGACTTAATACGGGTGGATTTTTATTACTAGATTTGCGGCTTCCAGGTTTCATAACCATTTTTACGAATAATAAGGTTCACAATTGTCCCTACTGCTCGTGACTCTATTTTTGAAAGTAATATTTAAACACTTCAACTAATTTACTAAAAAATTTTGAATATTTTGACGACCGGCACTCAAAAATGCCACAAACCGCGGCGCCCGTTACAACAATGCACAGAACACAGACTCACAGTACTCACAGGCTCACACACACAACGACAAAGCTATGCAACACACACAACGAAGCGGCTCGAAAACTGTCGCAAACGTGAAACGGGAGCGAAACAGAAAGATACACGCGAACACACGTCTGCATGACATGACGTTCGAGGCATAGAAGCGAAAAAGCGGACGCAATGCCGATTCGCGATTTGTCAAAACAAATCGGAGCGAAGCGCCATCTGATACGATCCACGTATGTTGTTTAGTTGTTTATCTATGGGTCAGTCGTTAAGGTCGTTAATATTCTAACGATCAATCATTTAAACTATCACATTAAGGTGCGCTTCGCCTGTGCGATACATGTAATCGCCTTAATTTTTACCGTTTTTGAGGACTTTTTAAACTGGGAAGGAATGACTGAATCTTTTTCAACTTTTCTAGGGTTATTTATTATATGAGCCGTTCAGTGCACACATCGACTAACTCCACTTTTTGAACAAACTGAGATATTAGTGGGAAAGAACTTAGTATAATCATAACTTTTTATGATTATAATAATTTTCCAAAAGAATGAAAATTGCCACTGTGAAACGAAATTTTTTTTTGACCACTGAATCCATAAGTCATTTATTTTTAGAAGACATTTTGATTAACTCCATTCTGTAGTGTATATGTTCTGGTTGGGTTGGATTTCGGGTTTCAAATTCATGAATTACGAATAAGAACACAGAACTGTAGGGTGTTGTGGGTCTCGAAAAAAATTCATCTAGTTTTATAAAAGACATCGAAGACGTTACAAACTTTGAAAAAATAACATACTAAAATTCGTGTACCCGGCAAAACAAGAATATTAAAACTGCCTGAAGTTTATTAAAACTTGTTCAATGTACGGAAATAAGAACTAACTTAATTAAAAACAAATTTCTGGTCGGTGGAAATAGTTATTAATCTATTAACTCAAGATTTTGTTATTATTGAGTCACGTGCGAAAAAAAATCGAGACATAATTTTACCAGATAGTTGATACAATATAATAAAAACATTTAAGAAAAAAGCGCCATTGTAGCTAAGCCGAATGCTTCACTAAGATTTTTTATATATTTTTTATTTATTTAGAACAATAAATCAATAACAGAAAAGTAACCATCACAGGTTGTCCAGAAAATTGGTCTAAAATGCGCTGAATTTAGAATAGAAAGGTCCAAGCCCAACGATATACAATTTAAGAGTGACTGCAATGAAGATCCGAATTTTAAAAAAAAGTTTAAAGTTTAAAAAAAAGTTGAAAACTTGATTAACTCCACAAGTCATATCAAAACTTTAACTTTAATGATAATTATTTTCTCACTATTAATAGTTATAAATCTTATATACCGTTACATGTAAGTTACATGTAATATATATATATGTATTTATACGTTCTAAAATATATTTTTCAATTTATATTATAACAGGAATTTTTAAAAGCAATATACATTACTTTATCGCTTTTCTCCACTTTCTGACTTTCGGAGTTAGTCGATGTGTGCACTGAACGGCTCATATATTAAAATACACAAAAAATTTTTTTTATTTTTTTTTAAATGGCTGCCGTAAAAATAAATCTGCCAAGACCCTCTCGGAAAAAGCCATCAATTTGCAGGCGTTCTCACTTTTCGTACGGTGATCTGAAATCAAAAAAATTAGTTTGTACGTGTTCATAAAACATATATCTTCTAGTTAAGCCCAAAAAAAATTTAAAAAAGTCACAAAATCGTAAATTGGCACACCTCAGAAAAAAAGTTCGATTTTTCACCTTTTTTTCAATGGTTTTTTTGGTAAGAGGGTTAATTTTTGAAATTTTTTGGAATGTTTGAGGTTTAACTAGAAGCTATTACTGTAAAGTAGATGTGTGCAAAATTTAATTGGAATCGGTTGAAAACTTTTTGAGTTATCCCACCCGCAAATTTCAAAAATGTCGTTTTGAGAAAAACGCGTTTAAAGTTTTGACACATAGAAACTGTGTGATTAAAGTGGCTCACCGATTAATCAGCGATTTCAGGGCCATATAGAAGTCCTTCGGTACGTTCAAGGAACTCGTTTTTCTTTGCAAGTTCCTGCAGACATGCTTGACGGGCTTGTTTGGTGGTCAAAGAGCTGCGGCGATTTTCTCGATTCACTCTTTGCTCATCGATTTTCTCTTCATATGACATGGATTGGCGGCCAATAACAATTTGCAGTGAGTTCATTAGTTGTAAGATAAAATTTAACCCATCATTGAACAACCCTGCAGATATAAAAGCACTAATCTCTACGATCTTCCGTCCAGAGTTAACTCTCAATTGAGATGTTTTGGACAGAGGCGCCAGACAGTAGAATTATAACTTTCATTTGCATTCTGAATGTGACCTCCTAAACATCTTTCAAGCAAGTCATCCCGAGATAAATCGTCAAAAATTGGCTTAATATGAGGTTGAACATCAGGATGTAATGGAGTTGGGAGTTTAATTTCTTTGGGATTTTCTCCTAAAGATTCAGCTTTGCGCCACTTGCACCAGCTATCGGAACCAGATGGACAGTACAGGCATATTTTTGAGATGTTATTCTAACTTTTTTTTTACGTGTATCGCCCCCCTTAAGACAAATTGCTCAAATTTTCCCCACTAAAAATTAAAATTTAAACTAGTGGCGTGCATGGCATCGTGGCTTAAGGCAAATTGCTGGAACTTCCCGTACCGTAATCAAAAATCTTGGTACGAAACCCAAAAAAATTTACCCAAAATGTGTACACATTATTAAAATCTCTATAAAATATCTGATAATTTGATGTACATATGTCCAATAAACATTTTTGACCGCCAAATGACATTTTTTAAACTTTTTATTGAGAGTCCATAACCGTTGGACCTGCCTCCCCCAAAAGTTTGAACAGTTCATCTTATCAATGCAAGTAAAATGTTTTTTGAATTATTCAAATCGGTCGATCGGTGTTCCCGAAATCGTCAATAAAAATTTGTATCCGCACACGCACACACACACATATCTAATTATATCTCATATTATGGATATCTAATTATAAGATATCCATTTTTTCTAATTATAAGGTATGCCAAAATATTCAAAAACCATTGAAACGTAAAGATATACAAAAATTTTCATTTTCGATTTTTTTGCGTTTACTATAACTTACTCTACGGGAAGTTAAAAAAAATAGATTGAGAAATTTGAGTTTTAAAAAAAATTGACTTTTTGAAAAAGTTGATTTTTTTTCATATTAGTTTGAAATATTTTAAATTTTGAACTTTTTTCAAAGCAATCGCGCTGCGACGAAATGTCGAAGCGTGTAAGCGCCACAGTACATTCTAACAGATAAACATTGGTGCGGAACCCATAAAAATGTAAACAAAATTTATAATTAGTAAACAAAAGTGCATATGTCTGATAATAATTTTTGACTGCCAAATAGAATTTTATTTTTTCATTAGATCTTTGAAACTACTTGAGCTGCTATCTGAAACATTCAAACTTTTCTCCATTCGGTCAACTAAAATATTTTTTGAATTTGAATCCGACTCTCTATTCTCTCAAAAACTGAATTGACACTTTTTACCCCGTATCTTCAAAACAGCTAATCCTGCCTTTGCCGAAAACTAATCAGCATGTATCCATCCCCATATGCTTACTTTACAGAAAGTTAAATATTGCAGGCCTATGACACATGGTTGAATTATAAAAATATGCTTGTGAAACAAATTATACATATATTTGATAATTAATACATTGGAACAGTGTCAACATTTTACAATATAGAAAGTAAGACAGAAATTAACTAATAACCAGAAATAATTTTTAACTGGAGGTGATTTTTGGAAATTTGTAACATACCATTGCAAAAAATTATGTCTGACTATTGTTAATAATGAAAATCAATTTGTTGGATGAAACTTATAGAAGAACCTAATTCTAGAACCTATTTGATGAACTTTGAATTAATAATAAGTATAATTATTGAATAATACATATTAGAAACAAATTAGATTTAGAATATTTCACAATTTCAAATACACTCATTTTTATATATCTTTCTATATAATCCATAAATGTGAGCAAGTAAACTATAACAATATCTTTAAAAAAAGGTACTTATGTTTCAAACAGAATTATAACATTAGATATGTATTTCATAATAATTCAATTTGCAAAATGAATTAGCAAGTAACTCGATGCAAATTAAATGCTAAATTATTGAAATAGTAATACACATACAAATATTGAAATAGTAACACATTAAGATTGCAATCATCTGTAATACATAAATTGTAGGGCAGGATTATTTTACCCCATTCTAATAAAAAAAATAGCTTTAACTGTAATTAAATCATGAATCTTCAATATTCCAATGATGAGTGTATTAACAAAATTTTTGGCACCTCTATCTCAGTATAAATGTATATAAAATTGCCTCAAGGGAAATCTTTATAATATTAATTTTAATCAGTCAATGTTGATTTATAATCTATAATTGCAGACCTTGACATGATCAGCAATTCAACTTGCACAGCACATTTCATCACAGCTGTTTTTGTTGTATAACATAGTACAGTTTATTTCATTCATTCACATCAGGCATTCACAATTCTACTCACATGACTAAAAATAGTATTGATTGTAGTAATAAATTTAAATAATCTCATACATTCAAACATTATTCAAACTTTCACCAAGTGATTTTGACATCAATGTATGATTTTGTGATTCATGATGACACAATTATGTTTTTTTTAGGAAATGAAATATCTAGAATGAACTAGATCAGAAATCTAAAGTTTTAAATATTAAAAACTAAATTATGAAGACAAACAATCTATGATTAAATTGTAGACCATTTCCTCAGTTAAGAGTTTAAATACTGTTGTGTTGAATTTATCATTAGTTTGATTAGTGCCTACTGATAGGTAATCACAAAATAATGTTATTAAAATTAAAAAATATTTAATCTCAGACAGATTCTTATTCAAATGATGAATGTAGAAAACTAGTGTAAGTTTTGAAATAATAGTAAGGATGTAAATAAATGATGTCAATATCACTAAGGAGATTAAGAACACTTAAAATTACTTTATGACACTATTTTTTTTAAATAGTATGCAGTTTCTATACAATTCAGAATTTATTACACCTATCCCCTATTTTACACAGTACTCGTTTTACATGTTATTGATCTTACAAGGTCTCTAAAAGTAATTTAGTTAGTAATTTTAAAGTAACATGAAATTATATACACTAAACTATGATTAGCTTGTATCTACAATCACATTTTCATTGATGTAGTGCCAAAATACAACATTAATGTCTATGATAGAAATATGTAGATAACATTGGAACTCCCCGTTTTATGATCAAAATTAAATCTTATGCGTGTATGAACTAGTTTGTTGGAAATACAAAAATATATCATTCTTTTATAATATATCATTCTTTTTAAACTTTATTTTTGATTAGTGTTTATATATATTGATAGCGTAAATTTACTCAAGGTGAACAAATAATAAAATTATTTTTTACAAAATCTACAATTGATAAAAAAAATTATGGTTTGACAATGGTAAAAGATAAAAATAAAAACTAGGCTCAATTGGAAAAATTGTAGCTGCTGGAATGTCCACAAGTCTTATCACAGTTTCTCGTTGTGGAAATTATTGAAATAAATTAATATTTTTATAATTTATTAAATGTGTTTGATAATATTTATTTTTTGTTCAATGTGATGTTATTCATTATATTAAAATCTGACAAAAATGGATTTTTTAGAATGATTTTCGATAAGCACGGTTTTTACGTATAAAAAATTATTTTTCGAGTTACACGGTTTTGTATGAAACGTATTTGTTGTGTAAAACGAGGGACAGGTGTATACAGAAGCTTTATTATAATTATGTACTTAAATAATTGAATATCATTAGTAGCCCCATCAGATATACCAACGAGCTGGATAAAATTAATCAGTTTTTCACGTATTGCTTGATTAGTATTTCATTGCTAAGATTTTCTACAAATGCTCAATTATTAGATCTGATGGACACCTACTATTTTAAAATTATATTTCATGAAAAATATCTTTGAAAAAATAATGTAAAATTACATCATTTATTGGCATGTTGTGACAACTTATGAATAGATATTATTGCTCAGCTTATTTATAATTCATTTCAAAAGCCTTAGCTTCACTCAACCACGTTTTCAGATAATACAGCTTGGGACTGAATATCGACACGACATATAGGGCACTGTTTTCTAATAAGCAGCCACTCATCAGCACAAGTGACATGAAAGAGATGCATACATGGAAGTCGTCTGTGAAAATTTGTAAAATTATCATATCAAATAAACACACATCTATGGATGAATAATCAAATTTTCATATTTTTTATGTAAATTCTGAATCATGTTTAAATGATCTCACCTAACACTTAATCCTTCCTCAAATTCTGAAAGACATATTGTGCATTTCTCAAGGTTATCATTACTGAGATTCTTCTGGTATATGTATCTACACGTATTCTGCTCAATAATATCCTAAAGTAATGGATAAAATTGTATTAGATACATTGACATATATTGATCGGCCAAATACAAAATTTACAAAAAATCTGGTTGTAAGTTACATTGTGGCAAGTTGCATGAACTTCCTGTTTTGTGTAAACAATGGATTTAATCAATATTTTTTTAATTTACATATGATCTAACTGTCTACCTGTCTACTTCTCTACATTTATTTCCCGTCGTCTACCTACTTATCTGTCTGTCTAGCTGTCTACTTACCTGTCCACTTTTCTTTTTCGTTATCTTTTTATCTGTTTACCTAATTACAACTAATTCTATTTGTATATGAATCAATAATAATAACTGTAAAGATGATATTTAACCAACAAATGTCAATTTTTGCAATTTTTTTCCGCTTTTCCAAAACCTTTGAATCTGCCTTCGCAAAAATGTAATTAATTCTTCATTTCATTAACAAAATTAAAATACTTTTAAAAACACTCAAAACGAATGCTCCGTTTTCTCAAAAATGGTCATTTTTAGCACTTTTTTCTCGTATCTTCGAAATGGCTAGAGCTGCCTTTGCCAAAAACTAATCAGCATGTCTCCCTCTATCAATAGGAATCGAGTGTTTTTGAATCATTCAAATTGTTTGATTTGGCACCCAAAATTGTAGATGAAAATTTGTAACCATGCATACAGGCCGACAGGCATATATGAATCGGATTCCTTCGATACCTTCAGATTGCACGATACCATTCAAGAGGTTACAATTTCTGATACGATTTTCATTTGTGATAAATATCACCAAGGCTCAGGGACAAACAAAGCCCGTTTTTGGATTTAATTTAGAATATCAATGTTTTTTGCACAGACAATTATATGTGGAATGCTCACGTGTGAGATCGCCGAAAAATTTATTTGTGTTGGCCAAAGAGGATTTGGTTAAAAATATCTTGCATCAATTAGTTTCAAACTAGATTTATAAAAAGCATTTATTATTGAGTAATAATAATTGAATGCAAATATATGATCCAGCTATATGGAATGTTAGATGTTGAAACATGTAAATAATTGAAATTTGAATAATGTATGTAATGTAATGAATTATTTATAATGTATATTTTTTGTGTATTGTGATATTTAATTTTAGGATAATATTATGCATTTAATTGTATGTTTGTATAATGGTGTTTATTAAATATGTGTATGTTGAAAGTAATATAGGTGGTGTTTTAATTAGTTAATAGCAAATTTGCTTAGAATATTATACATTATAATTATTCGTAATTATGACGATAATTATCTAACAGTGTATTTTGAATAATATAATATATATATATATATATATATATATATATATATTTATATATACATATGATTTAAATATCGCTGGTTAGGAATTGAAAAATAAAGATACTAATAGAAAACCTTCACAGCCAACTTGAATACATTTATAAGTAATATTATCACTTGATTACTTATGATAAATTTTATAAATTTATTCTAAACATTAATTTATTGTTCTTTTTATTTTAATTTTAAGTAAATTTTGACCAATTAGTATTGATTAATAAAAACCACTGTAAAGCAGCAAAATATTTTTGATGACAAAACATTTGCCGGGTCAGCTAGTATATATATATATATATATATGTATATATACCAATTTTTACAAAGTTATGCCAAAATGATCAGATGCTCTTAAAAGATAAAGATATGCAAAAATTATCAATTTTCACTTTTTTGTGATTACTATAAGTCACCCTAAGTGAAGTTAAAAAAACAGAAGCAAATTTATTAAATCATAATTTATCTTTTAAAAACACTTCACATTTTAAAAAAATGTTAGAAGGTATCTCACCATGGTAGCACCATCTTCCGCATCCTGCATCAGCACATTCATCCCTATCATATCTCGAATATATGAGATGAAATGAGACCGACTTGTTGCAACATCCTACAACATATAATACAAATATTAAAATTAAATTTGAACTACTTGGAAGTAGCATTTTACTTCAAGGCAAGCTGCATTAGCAAGAATGTTGCATAAAACGAGAACAAAAAACTACACTCTTTTCTGCTAATTACAAAGAATCGACTTGGTCGATCGTCGAGAAAACTGACCAACGCTAGTTCCTGTTGAGTTATATAAAATGGCTTTTTAATTTTTGAAACCGGTTCAACCGTTTTTTAGAAATCGTCGACGAAATGCCAAAAATCGGCTTACATACATACACACACACACATAGACATACTTTTTCCAAACTTAGTCACATTCAATTTAGAATTGATTGAAATATTAAGAAAACCTAAAATTAGCAAATAGGATTTTATCGCAAAAACAAACATCTCCTTCAGGAATTTAATGAAAAATAAAAGTTTTCCTCAAAAGATAATTAATTTCTGAATTACCTCAGCCTCAGAATCAGCACCATATGCAATCCATGCCATATGCAGCGCGAGAGCTTGCCTGCGTGCTTCCTGATTTTGAATAATTATTAAAATCACAAATTAAATATGCATTTTATAATAATTATTAAATTTCAATAAGTTTTATAACAGAATGAATACCTTAGGAATAACCATGCTGTTCGTGCATTTGTCAAATTACTTATCTGATACTTAAAGATTAAGATTGAGCCTTCAAAATTAATTTTCACCAAATTTAATAAATACATATTTTTGAAACAGTTTAAGCTTTTGAAATTTCGTATTAGAAATTATACTAATAATATTTACTTACAACAATTCGTTCTTGGCGCATTCTTTCTCTTTGATGAACTAAGTAGGGCTGACGAACATTATTTGTAGTCGTAAGTCTTGGCGAAACGTTATTTTCAATCTTAAAGGCAAATAAAACAGTCAATAATATAAAAATTTAATATGTTAAATATAAATCTTTGCACAAAAGAAAAGTATACACTAACTGTACGATTGGGCGGAATTATTCTATCTGGGCTTGGTCCTGCAATTAAAAAAATATATGAAGGCTGAGTATATACATTTATTTATATTTCATAAAGTATTTTTATATACCTCTTGCAACTTGAACATGTGTCTGTTGCTCAATTTGCAATGGACTTTTTGGTCTTTCAACAGTTACCTCCGCCCTGAAATTAATCACAATACGTATGATTCAATTTCTATAAGAAATATTAATATAAATTCAAATATCACGTAATAATAAAATGTTTAGAAATCCACATCCAACCGAAAAGTTACTGCAAAATTAAATCTAAACTAGTGGTATATGGAATCATGTCTTAAGGCAAATTGCTGAAATTTTCCGTACCGTAATTAAATATTCGAGGAATTTTAAATGTACTTAAATAGGCTATTATAAATACTATAACTTTCATTATTCCCATTTTATGGACAAAATATAGAAACTTATAAATTAGGCGACGACGTTTATATACATTCGCATAAAAAGTAAATAAAAAGGTCCTTATTTCATATTTATAATAATTATACAAACTAAATTACAAAGATAAAATTATTTATTTCAAGTATACAAGCAAGTATCAGAATTTTAGCTCAAATCCTGGCCATTTTCGATATTTAAAAAAAATTGTAAAGTAAAAAAAAATTGTTATGACATTTTGAGACCAAAGAATTTTTTTTGCCTTCCCCAAAAACTATTTCTTCACATTGTCGACACAAGCAAGATGTTCTAATCAGATCATTCTAATCAGATGATCTGTTCTCTCAATAACTGCTATTTTATGCACTTTTTGCTTCATATCTCCGAAATAACTGAACCTACTTTTGCAAGAAACTAACCAGCACTTCTCCGCGTCAATACAAATTGAATTTTTTTTAAATCATTTTTATCGAATGCTCCGTTTTCGAAAACTCGAATTTTCAGCACATTTTTTTGCTTCGTATCTTCCAACCGTTTTCTGGGGTATGCCAAAATGTTCAGACACCTTTGAAACGTAAAGATATGCAAAAAAAAATATTTTCGATTTTTGGGCGTTTACTATAACTTACCGCACACGAAGTTAAAAAAAATAATAACTATAAATAATTTTATTGATTTTAATTCAAATACTCAATATTAATAGCAAGAAAATTACTCACACATCACCATTCTCACTTTCAGCATTATTTTCAGAGCTTGTTCCAGATGTGTCTTGAGGGCTGTGGTGCTTGCTACAGTTACCCAAGCTTCCACAGGTTTCACAGCTATCATAGCTTTCACTGCTATCAAAGGCATTGGCATCTTCACGATCTTGTTCAAAAGATGAATCCACTACAATGGGAGTGGACTGAAATTGATAAAATAACAATGGAAAGTGTGCTAACACATAGCATATGATTAACTATTGGAGTTGCACACAATAAAATTTTAAACGATTTCTTATAGTTTCAATAATTTAAATGCTGATTGCAAAAAAGCGTAGTTTCAAAATGAACTTCTAGTGAATTATGATTAGCTAAGTGGTGCTTTTAAATTTCAATCAAAATCCAAAACCGTATTTCATATATATATATATATATATATATATATATATATATATATATATATATATATATATACGAGGTGTGTTCAAAAAGTACCCGGAATTACTAATAATTAAATTTCGCGGGTCTGGAGTGTCTGATTGTCAAAAAATTTTTTTTTATTGTGTTGGTATACATGCCCCTAAAGTATGATGAAATTTTCAGCTATATTCACTGTTTACTTTGTCTGTGGTAGTCGTTAAGGTTCGACGTGTTTTTCTGAGCTCGGCGATTTTTACAATGGAAGAATTGAAAAGTCAAAGAATTTGTATTAAATTTTGCGTAAAAAATGAAATAAAGTGTTGCAAAGTGCAAAAATTCACCAGATATGGCTCCGTGTGACTTTTTCCTATTCCCAAAGTTGAAGAGACCCATGAAAGGACGGCGGTTTTCCTCGATTGAAGAAAATCGCTGAGAGTGCTCAAGGACATATCAAAAAGTGAATATCAAGGGTGCTTCGAAAATTGGAAAAAACGCTGGCATAAGTGTATTATATCTGGGGGGGACTACTTTGAAGGGGACCACATTAATGTAGACGAATAAATAAATATTTTTTTGAAAAAACGAAAATTCCGGGTACTTTTTGAACAGACCTCGTATATATATATATATATATATATATATATATATATTGTTTATATAATATAATTATCAACATTAATATAACAATGAAGTGGAGAACTAACCTCGTTCGGGTAATTAGCACGTGCAGTTTCCTCGTCGCTAGAATCAGTTAAAAAATCCAATTGAAGATCAGGCGCCGAAAGAAATATAGCCTCTTGGGGATTCTCGAATTCAAAAGGCGTGCTCTCTGTATCGTATTGTGCGTCAGTGTCTGGGGTTGCATCGGAAACTTCAACCCAGTTCTTCTCAATTAGAATTATAGTTATTATAAATATTTTTCATATATATATATATATATATATATATATACTAGCTGACCCGGCAAACGTTGTTTTGCTAAATAAGGTATATTCTAAACCATTTCTAGAGAATCAAAAATATTAATACTTTAAGTGCATAAGGATGTTTGAATGCTATATACAATGAAGTATCATAAAAACATTAAACCCCATTAGTTTGTCTATATTTTGTCAATACAATCAAACTGCAAGTTTAATTCACTTCCTATAGAAAACATCGTATAATTCAATCCGAGTCTTTTTTGGTCTTTCGGCTTACTAATTACGTTTCAAGTTTTTCATATTCTTTTTGGATTCTGGATTTTGTGTATAATTGTAAATAATACTACTGAGCTTATACAAAATTTTCAAATTTTTGCAAGAAGAGATAGAAAATAAATATTTAAAATTCAAAAAAGTATTTCTTTTTTTACCTGCTTTTTGAAAAGTTTCAAGTAACATTCGGCGAAAAAAAGTAAATTTAATATAAAGTATATATGTAGAGCAGGGCGAGGCACAAAGGTCCAATTTGACTTTGAGCAAATGTAAACTATATTGTGAAAACCATAACAATTATATCACAGCAAATAACACATATCAAGCGAACAATTATCTGAGTTCAGTAAACTGTCTTCTACTTCATCATTGTAGAAATGTGCCTTTTTGATGTCTTTCAAAAATTTGGTATCTAGACCTTTTTACCCTGTAGGCGGGGTAACTTGGAACGGGCAGGTGGCAAACAGATTTAAAGCCTTATTATAGTTTTAAAGGTATTTTACAAAATAATTACATTTTTAACTAATGCTTAAAAACTACCAACGGAAGAAAATACTTTTATTATGGGTTCTCAAAGATTACCGTTTATCTCCCCCATTTCAAAGATTACCGTTTTCAAATCAAGCTTGTAGCTGGCTATAAATCTTTTTTTCTCTACTTTCAAATATTGTTGTTAAACAATGCTTAACTTTACTGATTTTTGACAAATCGGTGGTTGGCCTTTTTAACCCCGGACCTTCATATATTACTATCTATTCTGCGATAAATTCTGGAAAATTATAACTGGAAAAATGTTATTCGACAAAAGGTCCATTTGATCGATACCAAATTTAGGTTCTGAATTTAAATAACATAAATAAAAATAATATATAACCTAGAAAATGTTTTATAAATACCAATGAGCATGTATTTATACATAAGATCTTTCAGAGCACCGTGTTTGAGAAAAATATGCCAAAAATGCATTTTCATATTAACATATCAAAAAAGTTTATATTTTGAGTCTCTAGTAACACTTGGGGCCCGTTTACTAACGTTTTTGTATATAAATAAAACTACAAACAAAACTACTTACTACAAATTTATCACAAATAAATAATATTCGCGTAACACATCCTATTAAACGTAATTGAACATCATCTGTCAAAAGCGTTTGACATTTCACGAAATTGCCACCGTCCATTGTTCTATTTAAATTACGCTTCTACAAAAATTTTCAAATTATAAATGTAAAGTTTCTACGCGGATTTGAAATAATTTCTCACCTTTTGGACATTCTCTGGATTGGCACGAATTTTTCAAGACTAAGACTGGCCAAATCGATTCAGCCGTTTTCGAGTTTTATTCGGACATTTGAAAGAGAGCTCCATTTTTATATATAAGACTAGCTGACCCGGCAAACGTTGTTTTGCTAAGTAATGTATATTCTGATCAATTTCTAGAGATATTCGGATATTCAGATATTCCGGATATCCGAATATCCGAATATCCGAATATCCGAATATCCGAATATCCGAATATCCGAATATCCGAATATCCGAATATCCGAATATCCGAATCTCCGAATATCCGAATCTCGGAATATCCGAATCTCGGAATATCCGAATCTCGGAATATCCGAATCTCGAAATATCCGAATCTCGGAATATCCGAATATCCGAATATCCGAATACCCGAATATCCGAATATCTGAATAGCAGAAAGTTCTTTGAATCATTCAAATCGGGCACTTAGTTCTCTCAAGAACTGCCATTTTTTGTACATTTAGCTCTATCGGAATATCGGAGTATCGGAGTATAGGAATGTCGAAATATCTGAATATCCGAATATCCGGACATTCGATTATCCGGACATTCGATTATCCGGACATTCGATTATCCGGACATTCGATTATCCGGACATTCGTTTATCCGGACGTTCGATTATCCGGACGTTCGATTATCCGGACGTTCGATTATCCGGACGTTCGATTATCCGGACGTTCGATTATCCGGACGTTCGATTATCCGGACGTTCGGTTATCCGGACATTCGATTATCCGTACATTCGATTATCCGTACATTCGATTATCCGTACATTCGATTATCCGTACATTCGATTATCCGGACATTCGATTATCCGGACGTTCGATTATCCGGACGTTCGATTATCCGGACGTTCGATTATCCGGACGTTCGTTTATCCGGACGTTCGTTTATCCGGACGTTCGTTTATCCGGACGTTCGTTTATCCGGACGTTCGTTTATCCGGACGTTCGTTTATCCGGACGTTCGATTATCCGGACATTCGATTTATCCGGACGTTCGATTATCCGGACATTCGATTATCCGGACATTCGATTATCCGGACATTCGATTATCCGGACATTCGATTATCCGGACATTCGATTATCCGGACATTCGATTATCCGGACATTCGATTATCCGGACATTCGATTATCCGGACATTCGATTATCCGGACATTCGATTATCCGGACATTCGATTATCCGGACATTCGATTATCCGGACATTCGATTATCCGGACATTCGATTATCCGGACATTCGATTATCCGGACATTCGATTATCCGGACATTCGATTATCCGGACATTCGATTATCCGGACATTCGATTATCCGGACATTCGATTATCCGGACATTCGATTATCCGGACATTCGATTATCCGGACATTCGATTATCCGGACATTCGATTATCCGGACATTCGATTATCCGGACATTCGATTATCCGGACATTCGATTATCCGGACATTCGATTATCCGGACATTCGATTATCCGGACATTCGATTATCCGGACATTCGATTATCCGGACATTCGATTATCCGGACATTCGATTATCCGGACATTCGATTATCCGGACATTCGATTATCCGGACATTCGATTATCCGGACATTCGATTATCCGGACATTCGATTATCCGGACATTCGATTATCCGGACATTCGATTATCCGGACATTCGATTATCCGGACATTCGATTATCCGGACATTCGATTATCCGGACATTCGATTATCCGGACATTCGATTATCCGGACATTCGATTATCCGGACATTCGATTATCCGGACATTCGATTATCCGGACATTCGATTATCCGGACATTCGATTATCCGGACATTCGATTATCCGGACATTCGATTATCCGGACATTCGATTATCGGACATTCGATTATCCGGACATTCGATTATCCGGACATTCGATTATCCGGACATTCGATTATCCGGACATTCGATTATCCGGACATTCGATTATCCGGACATTCGATTATCCGGACATTCGATTATCCGGACATTCGATTATCCGGACATTCGATTATCCGGACATTCGATTATCCGGACATTCGATTATCCGGACATTCGATTATCCGGACATTCGATTATCCGGACATTCGATTATCCGGACATTCGATTATCCGGACATTCGATTATCCGGACATTCGATTATCCGGACATTCGATTATCCGGACATTCGATTATCCGGACATTCGATTATCCGGACATTCGATTATCCGGACATTCGATTATCCGGACATCGATTATCCGGACATTCGATTATCCGGACATTCGATTATCCGGACATTCGATTATCCGGACATTCGATTATCCGGACATTCGATTATCCGGACATTCGATTATCCGGACATTCGATTATCCGGACATTCGATTATCCGGACATTCGATTATCCGGACATTCGATTATCCGGACATTCGATTATCCGGACATTCGATTATCGGACATTCGATTATCCGGACATTCGATTATCCGGACATTCGATTATCCGGACATTCGATTATCCGGATGTTCGATTATCCGGGGATTCGATTATCCGGACGTTCGATTATCCGGACATTCGATTATCCGGACATTCGATTATCCGGACATTCGATTATCCGGACTTCGATTATCCGGACATTCGATTATCCGGACATTCGATATCCGGACGTTCGATTATCCGGACATTCGATTATCCGGACGTTCGATTATCCGGACGTTCGATTATCCGGACGTTCGATTATCCGGACGTTCGATTATCCGGACATTCGATTATCCGGAATTCGATTATCCGGACATTCGATTATCCGGACATTCGATTATCCGGACGTTCGATTATCCGGACGTTCGATTATCCGGACGTTCGATTATCCGGACGTTCGATTATCCGGACGTCGATTATCCGGACGTTCGATTATCCGGACGTTCGATTATCCGGACGTTCGATTATCCGGACATTCGATTATCCGGACATTCGATTATCCGGACATTCGATTATCCGGACATTCGATTATCCGGACATTCAATTATCCGGACATTCGATTATCCGGACATTCGATTATCCGGAATTCGATTATCCGGACTTTCGATATCCGGACTTTCGATTATCCGGACTTTCCGGACCCGAAAAAACTTCTAAAAGTTGGAAAAGTGTTGGTGACATCATCTTTTTGGATTTAATTTACATTTATGATATATATATAATTCCGGATAATCCGATTCCGGATAATCAAAAGTCCGGATGAACGAAAGTCCGGATAACCGAAAGTCCGGATGAACCGAAAGTCCGGATAACCGAAAGTCCGGATGACCGAAAGTCCGGATGACCGAAAGTCCGGATGAACCGAAGTCCGGATAACCGAAAGTCCGGATAACGAAAGTCCGGATAACCGAAAGTCCGGATAACCGAAAGTC